AACTTGAAGTCCTGTGGACTTCAAGTTGCCAAGGTTGAGAAACACTGCCTTATACCATATTTTTCAGAGAATAAGATGCACCCTTTTCCCTTAAAGGAGGCTGAAAATCTGGGTGCATTGTCTACACTGAATACAGCATTTTTGCCTCTCAAGCCCCTGCCCCCTTCACCAAAATGGCCGTGCATAGCCTTTAGAAGGCTTCCAGAGTGCTCCTGGCGGCTGGGGAGGGCAGACACGAGCAAAAAATGGGCCATTTTTTGCTCAATTTTATCCCCCCCCAGCGGCACTCTATAAGCTTCCTAAAGGCTATGTATGTCCTTTTTTTTGACTAAAAATGTTGTTTTTGGGAATACACCATTTTTTGCCCATTTTTGCCCCCCACCAGCAGCACTCTACAAGCCTCCTAAAGCCTATTCATGCCTTTTGGGGGAAAAAAATGGGCCCGTTTTCATGAAAAACAAGCCATTTTTGGGAGGTCTGCAGAGTGCTAAAACTTTTTTTAAAAATTTGCCTCTTCAAAATCTTGGTGCATCTTATACTCTGAAAAATACTTCACCAGGATTCTTAAATGCAACAGGTACATCTTCAGGCTAACTTCAAGGCAGTTCCTCTTGCTTTCATTATAAAGAAGTCTCAGGAATAGGTGTAGTAAGCAGTCCCCAGAACATCAGGGCTGGTGAACTGATAGAGCAATTTGTAGGGCTTCAAAACAGCAACATCTGTGACTCTCTATCTGCCATATTGTTTCACAGCCACTTCTGATTCGCACTATAAATTACAGTGAGAGCTTGAGCTGAGTTGTGGATGATTGCTGCTGAAGGATTCAAATACATTAGCTCTTTCTTCCTTTTGCAATGTTCATGTTAAACAATGAAGTATGTATCGAGAGGGGAAATATCTGTGGCCCATATGTGGTCTTTTTTTTTCTGATGGTTTCAACATTCTCCAAGAACATGTCATTCTAAAAGGGAAACATTGGGACCAAATCCTGCCCCTGGTCCCTCTGGGCATCAAAGAGGAGGAGGAGAAATAGGAAGAACCACAAGAAAAACAACAAATGAAGTCCTTCTGCAAAATGATTGCCTTCACCTGTTACAGATTATTTGCTTTAGATTCATGATACATCATTTTTTGGCTTTGTGTTGAAGTTCAGATTCACCATGCTAGAAATTTGTTTTCTTTGCCACATGTCAAACAACTGCACTCTGGATTGTTTCTTTTCTGTAACAAGTATTTATGTCATATATTAAAAAGAAACTCCCATTTAGGTATTTAATTTTTTCTCCAGCCAAGTATAATATGAAACCAACAATTTGCCCATGTTTTAGATTTGGACTCTATTTGTATCCAATCCAAACATCAACCCATTAATCCTCTATATGTCTCCCATGATACCTTCAAACACTTGATAACCAAACAACTTGTTTTCCCGTTCAGTAGCTCCATTCAGAATCAAACTTAGCAGACTTATTCTCTAAAGGATATAATCCAGGCATATGTCAGGGAGAATAAATTTTGCTTGATTGATACTTGGTTTTGCAGAATTGTTTCCACCCACGCAGCAAAACAATGGTTCCCTTGTGATTTTGATAGAAGTGGTGTAAAGTAGATGTCTTATTTGTCTGTCATAAGAAATATCATTGCTTGATAGTCACACAGAATTTTTCATGACTGGTTTATAATTCATCCCTTGAATTACCATCCCTCCATTTTCCAGAGTAGTTCACGATTTTATCCAATTTACACTCAGTCTTTCAAATCTTAACTGAAAGAGGGAGGAATATACTTCTTTGCAGTCCACTTTATTTTAAGGAGAGAGTGAAACACATACACATTTTTATTTGAAAATCAATGGTACTTAAAACTTTTTTTAAACTTTGCCGTGTGATGGTTTGCGGCATCTAAAGATCAGCAGATTAATTGTGGTTTTCTAAAGAAAAGATATTACGTTTTCAACATTATCTAATATAGTTGTAATTTAGGTATATTTGAAAGCATTTTTAATCATAAAATATATTTTAATTTGATTACCAAAACAAGGTTAATTGATATGCCCAGCAACAATTTTGTACATGGCAACATTTAATAAATATTATGTTTGGACTGTGGCACTTTTAAGGCTTACACAATTACAAAGGAATAATTTTTTCATAGTTTGACATCCATTTGATCAAATACAATAAAACTATCTTGAGATACATAATACAATATAGGATACATAGAAATGATTGCAGAAAAACATTTGTAAAGAATGAGGTTAGAAAAAGTGAAAAAAACAAAACAGTAAATACATGAACAGTCATTCACTAATTTGTGGCTTTGTTGACAGCAAGTCATTTTTCACTGTTTTGTAACATTGTGGTCAATCTTAATGAATGTGTTAATAAACTAGCAGTTTATAACTTTTCTCCCTGAATTGTTTTTGGTTTTTTCTCGTCTTTTCTCCAGAGATGCTTCATATGAAGCCAATCATCAAATTATAATAGCTTATGAATAAGGACATTGCTAAATGATATTTTTCATTGTTTGCATTTCTGGATAATTCAGTGTAGATGTTTAAAAAATCACATTGACAAGAATAAACATAATTTTAAAAACTTCATCTGCTTTAGATCCTGTATTAACAAAATATACACTTCAAACTATCTATTAAGCTGTTGTTAGCCTGCTATGGCATTGGGATTATTTGTCAAAGTAATCAATACATCCAGGAAACTATATTCCCTTTCCCACAAAAATCCTCTTAGAATGTATTGATAGTACCTCAATCACCACTATTTAAATGTTCACCTGTAAGGATTCATAAAGAGGATGTTTGAGCCAACAGTAAATAGATTTCTAACATTCAGAAAATAGATTTTCACTTACAAAATTGGATTATCATCCCTCTTCACTGCCTGAGGTGTGTGTCCTCCAACCTACGTTAAAATGTTTTTTTCTATTTATTTTTATGCACTTTTCATATTTTT